CCTCTAGATATTCAGGCCTTCATCTTCCATGTTTCCTACATGTGCAACATCAGCATCTCTCAGTGACCCTGCTAGGATGCGCAACAGGCACAGAATGCCTGCTGGAAGTCCATCTGTTGGCACCCCTTCAAAGGCAATTGGGCTTCCAGGGATGATGTTTGCCACTTTTGGGAGTTAGCCCTGCAGGTCATTTGGGCCCAAACCCTTACCACCCTTCTCCTAAAGTTACAAACATACCCGCAGATCAAATCTCCACTCCACTTTAATGGAACATCTGATTTGTCGCCTCTTAACAAATTTGTTCTTAAGCCAATTACAAACTCCTACAATCAGGACCCTGCCCCCCTGTAGGCAACATTGCTCCACCCAGCCTATTATTAAAACACTCGTAATGCCCCTAACAGGGCCAGATAACCCACTCCTTTGTCATTACTTCTGTTATTACCTAAAGTGGGTCGATGACAATGAAATATTTACTATTGGAGACACCCTAACCTGTTCTTGTGGAGGACTAGGAGAAGAAATCGGTGACTTACAATCCCTTAGAGCAGTAAGAGGATAAGGCTTATGACTGTTTTATTGTTTCCCAGTCTCAGGGCACACGCTTGGATTACTTTACATCAGAGTATCTAACCAATCTGCAGTGAACAAACTGGCAATGAGTTAAAATTACAACCCTTTGATCCTACCCAGCACTGGTCACGCTAGAGACCTTGGGGATACCCAACTCCAGTCCGGGGGTCCCAGGAGGTCAACCTGCCTTGACCTCCTAGGAATCTGGTCCTCAAAAGGTTGTCATGCCTCAACCTGCTTGGGGATCCGCTAGTCCAGGGGTCCCAGGAGGTCGTCACACCTCCATCTGCCCAGGGACACAATTCTCAGGAGGCCGACCTGCCTTGACCTGCCCAGGGATTCCATCTTCAGGAGACTGTCATGCCTTAGCCTGCCTGGGGATCTGCACCCTGACCCGGGGACGCCTGGCTCTCAGGTTATAACAGTACTGGGTAGGATAAGCCTCAGAAAGACTCACCCCTAAGGAGGTCAATCCATGAAAGTAGGAAGAAGTCCCACAACCTTGTGGAACTGTGCCCACTCTCAGCAATAACTCAGGAACCCAACGAGAACCCACTGCCTTTCTAGAAAGGCTAAAAGAGGCCCTCCAAAAGCTTACCAGCCTGGACTTAGACTCTTATGAAGGACAGGTGATTTTAAAGGACAAATTCCTGTCCCAATGTGCATCAGATATCAGAATAAAGTTCCAGCAGCTACAGCAGCAGGACCCTGCTGCCTCTTTAGATGAGATGGTCCAGACAGCCACCAAGACCTTTTATAACAGAACAGCAGAAGGAGGCCAAGGCCCAGGAGAGGGAGACAAGGAAAGAGACAAGGCATGCCCAGATGGTGTTCTCCCTCCAGGGAAGTCCTATAGCAACCCTGAGCCCTTGAAGGACAAGGCACGAGGCAAATGTATAATCTGTAGACAGGTGAGGCCTGTTTCAGTCTCCCACTGTTTGTGTCCGACTCTTTGCAACCCCATGAACCACAGCACGCCAGGCCTCCCTGTCAATCACCAACTCCCAGAGTAAAGGACACCAAAAAGGGAACACTGAAGTGGCACGAAGGAACCAAGCAGCTGATCAGGCAGCTAAGAGAGCAGCATTACAGAACCATGACCCAATCGGGGTTGCCACCTTAGTTCCACAGACTAATTTGCCAGAACTCCTTCATATACTGAAGGTGAGACTCTTAAAGCTAAGAGTGAGGGCTTTCAAGATCATATGGGGGTGGTTCCAAAAGGAGAGACTCCTTTTTATGCCTGGGAACCTCCAATGGAAGTTGGTTAACTCCTTACATGCCACCAGTCATTTAGGGGAAAAGGCCCTCCAAAGATTACTAGAAAGATCCTTCAGAGGAACAGGCCTCCAAACGACTATAAGGCAAGTGGTCTCCTCTTGTCCCACTTGCCAGTTAAATAATCCCCAAGGTGCTCAAAGGCCCCAGCTGTCCCAGCCCATCCAATGGATTGGGACCTACCCAGGAGAAGATTGGCAGATGGACTTCACACAGATGCCAGTTTCTCAAAGGTATAAATATCTACTGGTCATGACAGATACATTTACAGGATGGACTGAAGGTTTTCCCACCTGGACTGAGAAGGCAGAGGATAAAGGCAATAATAAATTTAAAAAAAGAAAAGAAAAGAAAACGGCTCCATGAAATCATTCCAAGATTTGGCCTGCTCAGGTCATTACAAAGTGACAATGGGACATCATTTACTTCTAAGGTCACCCAAAGTGTCTCTAAAGCATTGGGCATTACTTATTACCTCCATTGCGCCTGGAGGCCTCGATCTTCAGGAAAAGTAGAAAAGTGAAAGTGAAAGTTGCTCAGTCATGTCTGACTCTTTGCAACCCCATGGACAATATGGTCCATGGAATTCTCCAGGCCAGAATGCTAGAGTGGGTAGCCTTTCCCTTCTCCAGAGAATCTTCCCAACCCAGGCATCAAACCCAGGTCTCCTGCATTGCAGGAGGATTCTTTACCAGCTGAGCCACAAAGGAAGCCCAAGAATACTGGAGTGGGTAGCCTATCCCTTCTCCAGGGGATCTTCCCAGCCCAGGAATCAAACCAGGGTCTCCTGCATTGCAAGTGGATTCTTTACCAACTGANGTTCATGGGATTGCAAAGAGTCGGACATGACTGAGCGACTGAACTGAACTGATGGGAGACCTCTTACTAGATGCAGAGGCTCAGACCCTCCAGTCTTATACCATGGCCACTGGGCAATTCCAACAGGATATACGTTTGTGGGGATGTGAACCAGGACCCAAAAGATTCTAAAGAATCACCACTATATGCTCCAGGGACTCAAGTCATAATTGAAGTCTGCAAAGATGGGTTCCCAAAGTCTCAACTCCAGCCCACATGTAAGGGCCCCCACCCTGTAATATTTTCTACCCCATAGCAGTCAAGCTACCAGGACATGACTCCTGGATTCACCATTCAAGAGTCAAGCCAGGGAAGAAAACAGAAGAGGACATTCAGTACACCTGTGAGCCCCTGGGGGCTCTCAGATACCTATTTAGAACTACAAATGAATGTCATTCTAATAAACACTTCGAAATTCTAATTTCTGGGGATAAGATTTCTCAGGATAGCTCTAAAGAGACAACATAGGTTGGCAGGGGGTTGTACTCCAAAACAGACAGAAGATAGATCTTCTAATCCCTAAACAAGGAGGGATTTGAGCCGTTCTGGTGATGGGAATTTGGAGTTGGCTAATGCCCCTGCTAGTCCTTGTTATGCCATGTTGATGCTGCTTATGATTGTTCCATGTATTATCAATTATCTAACCTGTTTTGTTTCTGTCCAGGTCAATAAGCTACAACATGCAGTGCCAGTACAACAAGGATATATAAAACTACAGCCTACCATGTAAAATACCACTCACCCTTAGATGGACACCACTATAAGGACTCTGAGGCATGAGACTAGCAAGAGGGGGAGGCCCAATACCCGTCGCCATCCCAGTTCAGCAGGAAGTAGCCAAAAAGACCTCAACAGCCCTATTCCCAAAGAATTGGGCCTCCCATCTCTTGAGGGGTGGATGTTAGGTAGTTAGAATAGGAAAAAGGAGTCCAGAATGGTGGTGGCTAAAAGACAAGGAAGGGAAAAACCTGCGAAAATAGAACAAAGAGGACTGGAGTCAGGACCTCAGGTGGAACAAACAGCATTCCTGGATAGCCCCATTTACATAGGGCAGGCCCAGGGGGAGGAAAAAAACATATAAAAAGAGGAGCCAAAGGGCCATGGGTCTCTCTCTCTGTCTCTTCTCTTTGCGTCTTTTGGGTAGGCATACCCTCATGCCTCGAGGATGCATTTTCCTTTATTTTCTAAATAAATCTGATCTGTCCAAGAACTCTAACACGGACTGTCGAAGAGTTGTGATGCACCGAGGGCTTTCACATCTGTCGCTTCAAATCTTTGTTGTGATGAGACAGAACTGAGGAGATTACACTCCCCTGACAATACCTTGCCTCTCATGGTACTTCACATTTTTCAAAGTACTTTCATACATATGTTTATATTGTTGCTGTTGTTCAGCTGCTCAGGTCTGTCTGACTCTTTGCTACCCCATGGACTGCAGCGCACCAGGCTTCCCTGTCCTTCACTATCTCCCAGAGTTTGTTCAAACTCATGTCAAACACATATATTACTTAATCATGAACACTGGGCAAGGGATGTGGGAAGCAGAATTCTAAGAAGGCTTCCAAGATCTCTGCCAGTGTGTATATATTCCCTGAAAATTCCCCCGACCTTGAATATGGGTAGGATTTGTGAATATGATGGGATTACAGTTAAAAATCCCCAGGATTACAGTTAGACTGTCTTAGCACACTTGAGAGAGTCTCCTGCTGGCTGTGAAAAAGCAAATAGCTGGGAAAGGCCCCATGAGCAGGCCACATGATAAGGGTGACACTTGGGGCTTAGAGTGATCCCCAGTAGACAGCTAATGAGAAAACAGCAATCCCATTCTTCAGGTGCAAGGAAATGACAGCCAACAACCTGAAAAGATTGAAAGTGATTCTTCTTCCAGAGTATCTAGGTGAAAACATCAACTGACACCTTGACTTTCAGACTTTCGAGATGCTGAGCAACCTCTGGGCTACAGAATATGTGCAATAATAAATGGGTGTTGTTTTAAGCCACTTGTTGTTTAGTCGCTGTCATGTCCTACAGTTTTGTGACCCGTGGACTGAAGCCTGTCAGGCTCCTCTATTCATGGAATTTTCCAAGCAAGACACTGGAGTGGGTTACCATTTCCTTTTGCAGGGGATCTTCCTAACCCAGGGATCAAACCACAGTGTCCTGCATTGGCAGGCAGATTCTCTACCCCTGAGCCACCAGGAAAGCCCTATGAAGCAATAGAAAGCTAATAAAAGCAAAAGCAGATAGTACCATTACCATTTCACCAAAAAGGAGACTGGCTCAGAAAGATGAACTGGTTTGCTTAATTTTATTCTGAAATTTAGTGACAGGACTGAGATTAGTACTTCAGATCCTTATTTATACTTTGAACATCCTCCAAATAGTAATATACTGCTCCACACTAAAGGGTTTTACTGGAAGCTTTTTATTTTTAACCTCTGCCCACCAACAAGGTAGAAATTGAAAGCATAATATATTGTCTTCTTTCATATAGCTCAATATAGAGTAAAGCACTGACTTTTATTAATGTTCACATAAGTTCTGTAGTATGATGAAAACAATCAAAATCATGTAAATGTTAAGTTGATAATATTTTAAAAATAAATCTTGAATCAAATGTCAGTCCTCATCACTAAACAAACAATATTCAGAATAGTTAAGATCAGGAAATGTGATTGGTAATTCTACCCACTTTTTGTATTGCTTCTTTGGTGAATTATTTTGGAAAACCACTACAAAATTCTTTATTTTGAGACAAGGCAAATCTAAGCCTTTGTGTACCATCATCGTTCCCCAAGCCTGGAAAACAAAAGAGAGAGGGAGAGGAAAAATTAATTGCACATTCAATTAAGAATTCCTTTTGGTCAAAATAAAATTAAGCCCACAGCAATTTACTTACTTGGCCACATTTATTGCAGATTATCTCGCCATTTGTTTGATACTCAGCACACATTGTTTGCAGTGCTTTGTTTCCTCTCACAAAGTACAGTTTCCTAAAATTATCAAGGAGTCAGAATCATCCCTGAGAATTCATATAGGACCAGTACACAGCCCATGGTACACACTACTGGGCTTGCCAGTCATCCACATGCATGCACCATTCTGTACTTCATCCTGTTGGCCAAATCATTGGGCACACACCTCTCAGGGTATGTTGCTTTTTATGGCTTCTTTCAGGTCTGTTGATTATTTTAACTAAACGTAAGTTGCTCAAGAAGTTGAAAACAAATATGAGCATTCACAAACCGATCTGATTTGGATGAAAATGGCTTTGGGTCTTAAACTTCTCCTTTCCTGCCCTTGTGTATATATTTGAAAAATGGACACTTGAAATAAGATTCATAATTTGGGGACTAAGAAGGGGAAGTTCTGAAAAAATAATGAATCTCATGTGTACTATTTTGTTAGACCATTTACAATACAAACTGCTTCATCCCTTATAAAGAAACAAAAATAAGGCTTCTCTTGAACTTACTTGAACTCTGGTGTCATATTGACATGGTGCATCTTCTCAATTACATAGATATCTTCTCCAGAGCAGGCTGGCACACTACAGTTTTTACACAGAAAATTTATTAATGATGGCTTGTTCTTGAACTGCTTTGCAATACTTCTCTTGGTTTTCATTTTCTTTTCCATTATACTTTGCATCTGTAATTCCAAAATCTGCAAAACAATAATCAATGTGATTTTGAATATTTCAATATTTCATAGTTTCAATAAAACAAACTGCCTGGAATTCAGAGATCTGAGATAGTTATGAAATTATACACTTGACTTAAAGTATAAGAATAAAAGTGATGAGGTGATGGCCCCCAAAGAGTTTAGTATAGAATCTTCTCCTACAATCATGGAAATGTGGAATCCTTAAGTGTTCAAAACATACCCCATTCCATTTTTTAAAATGTTCTATTGTGAGAAAATGTTTGGCAATATTTAATAAAGACAAAGCAAACAAAGAGACAAAAACAAAGAAACTCCTTCTAATCCACATCTCCATAGGTTTTAATTTTATCTCATAAAATAAGTCTACTCTTTCCTCCATATGAAGTCTCTTTAAAGAACTAAACATTCTTACTTCATCGCCCTTAGTCGTTTCTTATCCATGAGAAGCCTCCAGTTTCTTTCATTTCTCTTCATATATTGTAACTTCCAGACTCTTCACTATTTTATCTCCTCTATACATTTGTGACAGAAAATACTAGTTTCCCACCCAGGATCCATTCTTCATAGTAACAGAACTATAATTTTATTCTGAGTGGAAATATACCACCAAATGAGTACATTTACAAGTCAGTGGCCATTAAGACATAAGTCTATAAAATGTTGAACGAAATTTCCAGTAAAGATCTTTAAGTATTAGGTAGCTGATACGGGCACTGTTGCCTTTTCCATCTTTCTCCTCCTTCCTTCTTAGAGTGAACATGCAGCAGTTGAAATTCTAAAAGTTTTGACCTTGAGAATGGAAGCCAAATAGCAAAAGGCAGAGAAGAAAAGGAATCTTGGCATCCTGATGACATCATGGAGCTATTGTGTATGTCTAGATTGCCCACAGTCTTCATATGAGAGAATAAAATCTTTAAATTTTTATATTCCCAATTCTGGGGCTAATGGAGAAACTTATTCATAACAGAAATAATATAGTTTATGAAAGATATAAAACTTGAGATAGAGACTGGCCAGTTCTCATACCTATACAACCTCACAGTAGGCAATTCTAGTTTTTAAATAATTTACCTCCAAACTAAACCTCTCAAAGATGACAAACTGATATTAAGTTGTGGAGGAAGCCATTGTTTTCAAAGGAAAGTTTTCAGGAAAAGTAAACTATCAGTGCTGATGAACAAAACTGAATAGCCCAGTTCTCTGGCTCTCCCCTCTGTTTTAGACCTTGACTCGAGGCAGCCATAGTTAGCACCGAAAAGAGAACAAACCTTGCAAGTGAACCTGTGGGCTATCATACGATTTAATCAGATAAGTATGAAGACAAATTTCCTATGGAAATATAGCAATATAATGAAGTATTCTATTCTTTAATAGTTTAATTAGGCTGTTCTTGCAGGATATTTACAGTTCAGTGAGCTGGTGAAAAGATGATTTGGCATAGGAACAGATACATATGGGCAATTAAGAAATAACTATGAATGCAACAGAAAAAAAGCAAACAAAACCAAGGTCAGTGTTTGGATATGTAACCAGGACACCAGAAACCAAAAGAATAACTCTAAGCTAGTAAAGGATATGAAACAATTAGAAGGGCCAGAAGAGAAAAGCAATCATAACAAATATATGAGAGGCACAGCTATAATCAGTCTGCATGCGTGCTCAGTTGTGCCCAACTCTTTGCAACCTCATGGACTGCAGTGTGGCACACTAGTCTCCTCCATGGAATTTTGCAGGCAAGAATACTAGAGTGGGATGCCATTTCCTCCTCTAATAATAATCAGTCCAATTCCAACTAAAATGTAATATGGCCAATGTGGTTGGGTCAAGGCCAGGGACAATGTTTAGTGTCTTCAACTTACTCCTAGAAGTCTGATTTGATTGAAGAAGCTTGGGGTTATGTATAAACTCAGTATATAACATAGAAAATAGACCTTCCCTTATATGTCAACTCAAACTGTTCATTAGTGGTTGCCCCAATGTTATGTTGAGAAGGGTTCTTAAATCAGTATAAAGAAGTGTTTTGACCTGGTGGCAATGTGTGATGGGGCTTTAAACAGAGTAGTGGTGACACGTACCCCATGTCATTGCCATCCCTTCTCTGGATTTGTCTACCTGGAGCAGTTTTAAGAGAGTAGAGTAGGTCTCTTAGCCAAAGGAGACCTAAAAAAGATAGCTCATGGGGCCCCCAAAGGGACTGTGTCTTTTCTAGAGATTATCTGGAAAAGTGCGACTCACAAACTCCAGAGATGGTTCTAGAGTTTATACAAAACACTGGTCTTGAAACATTAATCTCTGAAAAACATCCCACGTGATTTATTCATCTAGTACTTTAAATGTAAAGTGCTAACTTTCCAGTGGTATTACATGGCTACAAATGTTTGATTTGACACCACAAAATGTTTGGTTTGCCTTATATTTAAAGGGGTTTTAAAATATAAATTCGTGTAGAAACCTGGCCAGGAAACCTTGGAGTTGGTTATAGCAATGCACACCAATTTGAAAGCATCCCTTCCGTGAAACTCTATTTAGGGTAGAGCCAATTCCAATGTTAAGAAACTAACATTCACACCCATATGCAAGGGTGTGAATTTTCTTCTAAATGGATTGTTTGCTATTATAGTAGTTACAGTCTTTAATTCAGTGGTATGGGGGATTTCCTGAAATATTGTAGAAATACATTCTTCCTTTGCTGCATTCCTCTCACAACTCAAATGATTCTATGTTAGTAAACTGAAATGCAGCAAGATGGTATATGATTTATTTTCTTAACAGTCAGGGCTAGCCTCACTGTCTCTCCCTCTTAGAGGCCTTTCCCAAACACCTAACCTAAAGTGCCCAACTAGATGTTTGTTTCACATTGTCTTGATCTAATGCTTCAGCTCTCCTCTCCATTCATGTATAACTTGCGTTATTTCTCTTTATTGTTTCTCCTCCTCAAATCTCACCATGTACTCACTCAAATATAAGTTTCATGCAGGGGGGATCTATCTGCATTGCTTGCGGCTACATTCACTATTTTTACAATGTTGCCTAACACGATTAGGCACTTCACAAATATTTCTAAAATGAAAAAAATGCCTGTACAGATTAGATGGGACCAAAATGACCAGGTTGAATTGAACAAGTGAGTTGCACTAGTCTTTCTGGATCAGGGAAAATCTAAATTTATATTATCAAATTTCATAGAACGCCTCCCTGATGATTTCTGCCCACCACAGATCTTGAGTCTTTGTATGTGAATCTGGTCTCAGAACAGTCCTTCAAACTGGAACTTATAATTCAGCACAATTTCTGTCTAGAGGTTTAACCACAAAGAGATATCATGGCAACCACAGGCAGCCATTTAAAAGTGAAAACTAAATTCAGAGTTGGCCCAAAACAATACCTTATGAGCATACTCCTCTGGTTTCATATTTTGAACACGGTCTATAGCTTTATACATCATTTTCTCTCGGAAATCATTAACTGTCTCACGTTCCACAACTCCTGAGCCGCTTTGGGCAACCAGGACGTAGGTGCTCTCATCAGCTCTGGCTCGGCCACGGGCCTGAGAACAGAAAGAAATCAAGTCAATGAAGTCAACGAAGGGCTGTGCTTTGCTGCGAGCGCTCCTGCTTTTGTTCTGGAATGATATTCACTGCTCAGTATCCCACCATCAAAAGATTCCTCTATTCTCGGTAGAGTCAGGTATTATCCATTTTCTTAATAAGTTGGCTATTTGAAACTCAAAATGCACTTCAATGAAAAACAGTGTTGTAGGATGATGATGGTTAGGTTCCCACGTGCATGTGTGCTGTGTCACTGCAGTCGTGTCCGAGTTTTTGTGACCCCATGAACTGTAGCCTGCCAGGCTCCTTTGTCCATGGGATCCTCCAGGCAAGAATACTAGAGAGGGTTGCCATGCCCTTCTCCAAGGGATCTTCCTAATCCAGGAATCAAACCCGTGTCTCTTATACTCTTACATTGGCAGGTGAGTTTTTTACCACTGAGCCACCACGGAAGCCCACACCGGCCCTCAAAAGCCTCAATGACACAAGGCCATCCTGTCCTGCCCTTCTTTTCCCCAGGTACCCCTCTCAAATCCTGCAAACCATCATCAGTGATTTGGGCTGGGGGAACCCTATTGCCCCCTTCCTGGTAGGGAGGACAAATGGGGAGAAGGGCCCCTCTGACTTTGACACCAGAGCTGAGGCGAGCATCATTCTGTTGCTGGCATCTACCTTCAGTGTTCCAAGAAAACACACTCAGTGTGGTGGTACACTGTGCTGTGCTTCGTCGTTCAGTCGTGTCCGACTCTCTGTGACCCCATGGACTGTAGCCCTCCAGTCTCCTCTGTCCATAGGGGTTCTCCAGGCAAGAATATTGGAGTGGGTTGCCATGCCCTCCTCCAGGGGATCTTCCTAACCAAGGGGTCGAACCCAGGTCTCCTGAATTGCAGGTGGATTCTTTACCCAGCTGAGCTACCAGGGAAGCCCAATACATTTCTTCACTTTTGTATAAAGAGTTAATACTAAGGCACATTTTGAGTAACAAAAAATGTTATGGCCTTGGCCAGAAACCTCACCATCAACGCTGTCATCCTCATGAAAAATTCATTCTGAGTGGTGAGGCATTGAATAACACATCAACTCCTGAAATTCGAGTATTTCTTAATTTGGTGGCTTTCTGATTATCTGGTTGATTTCTCTTTTTGTAGGAAAACAGATATATTTTTTAAACTATGTGTGCTGTTCTACTAGAAGAAACCAAAACACACACAAAAAGGGCTTCCCTGTAGCTCAGCTGGTAAAGAATCCTCCTGGAATGCGGGAGACCTGGGTTTGATNGATTTCTCTTTTTGTAGGAAAACAGATATATTTTTTAAACTATGTGTGCTGTTCTACTAGAAGAAACCAAAACACACACAAAAAGGGCTTCCCTGTGGCTCAGCTGGTAAAGAATCCTCCTGGAATGCGGGAGACCTGGGTTCGATCCCTGAATTGGAAGATCCCTGAAGAAGGGAAAGACTACCCACTCCAGTATTCTGGCCTGGAGAATTCCATGGACTGTTTAGTCCATGGGGTCGCAAAGAGTCAGACACAAGTGAGCAACTTTCACTTTCCACTACATGTGTGCTGTTTTACTTAAAGAAAACAAAACAAGAACACAAAATAAGAAATTAACATATTTGAGGTATCTGAATGTACCTGGACCATGGCTATTTCGTTAGTGACGAGACCATAACGGATAACGATATTACATTCTTTAATATCCAGACCTTCTTCTGCCACTGTGGTAGCGATAAGCAGATTTATTTTTCCCGTGCGAAATTTACTAATGACTTCTTTTTGTTCATTCTGTAGAAACATTTTAGTAAATTAAATGTTGTAATGCTAAACACATTAAAATCTTCTAATTAGGAAAAGAAATACTAAATTGCAACTGGTCAGTGTAAATGAAAGGATTAGATCATACACGGATTTGCTGCCATCTGTTTTTGGCATTGAACAAAGACATGATGGTGAGGCAACATTTGATTTCCAATCTGGGATTACCGCACAATAACAAAAATATTTCCATCCTCCAGTCTGGAGGTGGGAAGGCCATCATGTGTGCCAAGGAAACAAACTGATGGGTGACTTAGGAGGAAGAAAGGAGGAGATGCTTTCAGTTGAGAAGAGGATACAGCAATGAGAAACTAAAATAGGCTTTGCTTTTTACTACATTAACTTCAGAATCTTTAACAGTCAGAGAATAAGATGCAATGACACTTTTAAAGACAGTCAAATTTTGAGTCAGAGAGAAAATATACACTGTATTTTGCATTTGGTCACTTTAAGAGTCAATCAAGCAAAGAAACATGAAGCATTCCTGGTAGAAACTGAAAGCATTGGTTGCCTCCAGGGACAGGAGCTGGGAGACTGAAGGACACAGGTGTGTCCTGTACCTTATTAATTTTTAAAGACGTAAATATATTATCTGTTCAAAAGGATGACATCAATAAAAATGAAAGAATAGGTTATTAAAAACATAAGTAAACAGTTATATTTAAATTTAAAAAAATCTGAATTTTGAAAGTTAACATAGGTAAAGGAATCAAATATTCACTTTGGCACTTGCATAGGAGGAACTGGTGAGCATAATCCTAGCTTGATGTAGCCAGTGGAGTTTTATTTTCATAACTATTCTTATCAAAGCTGTTGATCCAGTGGTCTTTGGTGTATATTTACCCTATCTTTTGCCTCCATACATTAAACAAAAATACACCTGTCAGACAGATTGTATGTTCTCCTGTTCCCATCCAATTCTTTTCAGAGGCAGGATGACATATGTCTTTCTTTTTGACTTCTAACTGCTGGAGAATCCTGCAGAAAGATCCCTCTCCAGTCTTCTCTGATCATTTCTCCTTCTTGCACTCATGCCCACTATTGATACAAACTTGACAGATCCTTGGATTTTAGCAGATGTTTGTGCCTTCATTCAAAGGAGTAACTTTAATAGTGAGAATTTCAGACTCAGTGTCAGACCCTCACATCATATTACATAGATGCCTAACTCCTCTTCCAATGAGTAAGTTCAAGTCAGTCTACAGGTGAGGATGTGGGGAGTGAGGAACGGGGTGTGTTCTATATTTTGGCATTCAGCCACCTAGTCAAAACTGGATAAGCAAAAAGTAGCTTGAATGGATACTTGCCATTTGTAACCCATCTCTTTTCAAAGAGGAGCCAAGGCTACATAAAATCAAAGTTTTAACACTAAAGCTAATAGAATAAAAACTAAAAAATGGGACCAAAATTGAAAAAGTATAGGTGTATCGCTTGTAGGAATTAAAACAGAAGCTGAGAGAATGAACTTCAGTTTTGCTATAAGCTTCGTGGCAGCTAGGGCAAACAGGAAAACATACCAAGTAAAGCAGTTCTCATCATGACGAACTCCTTACCTAAAGAAAACAGTGCTTTCTTTGGCATAAACTTTAGAGGCAACTCCAATATAAGGAGAGAGTATACCAAGTGTTTTGGTGCACAATTTGAAGAACAACTTCTTTTCAAAAAATGTTAAAACAAATTCAGTTTGTTCCAATGGAAAAAAATGATGATGACCATAATGGAACTAAAGTGTCCCTTTTTCCAGAAAAACTCAGGACCAATAGGGCTTCAGAAGACATTTTACACTAACAAGCCATTTCTGTTTTACCCATATTTATAATCTCTATAAGTGTCTTTTTTTCCTTCTTCCAAGTGTTTTTTACTGTGCACATAAGTAGTATAATAAATTAAAAGCAAAACAAAACAAAACTTGAAAAGAAAATCTCTCATATGAGATAGAGTCCCAAATCTCTATCATATGTCTTAATGTCTTATGTCTTAATCAAATGTCTTAATTTTTCCAAGTTCCCTTAAAGATCTCATCCTATGCAAACATATTTTACATAGTTCTAATTATAATGAACATATTTTTGTGGAAATTTGATTTTTCCATTTGATATTATATTGTGACTGTTTTCCCATTTTGTTACTAAGTTTAAGTGTTAAGCATTTTTGCAAAAAGAAACCCAATATAGAAAGTTCCTCTAAGAACATGGAGAAAGTGATTCCTAGAACAAAGCTTAGCCTATCAAATGCCACAGATTGATGGCTATTAAACTCACATTGTGGGTTGGTGAGAAGATTAATGAAAAAAGACTACAAATGAAGAGAAATGACAGCATAAGAAAAAAAATCCGAAAGGATGTTTTCACCTGGGTCATGGGCTTGAACTCACTGCTGTGTCCAGCGCCAATAAGATGGTGGGCTTTGACTCCTACTTCTGAAAATTTTTCATTTTCAATAATCCACTGGGAAAGGGCATATGCACTCTGTCGTGTTTTGGTGAAAATTATTCCACGCGCTGATCCTTCAGTCCTTGAATATTGTTCCATTATGGTGTTTCTCAACTTGATGAGCTTTTCATTTTCATGTTCTGGGTTTTGGGCTAGCTTTTTCAACTTTTTCTTATTTCCTTTAAGAAATAATTCATTTATTTCCTTTTTTTTAACTCAAGTATACTCGATTTACAATGTTCTGTCAGTTTCAGATATACAGCAGAGTATACAGTAATACATATGCATTTAAAAAATATTCTTTTACATTATGGTTTATTCCAAAATATTGAATACAGTTCCCTGGGCTATACAGTAGGACCTTGCTGTTTATCTGTTTTATGTATATTGATTGTAGTTTGTATCTGCTAATCCCAAACTCTTAATTTATCCCTCTCCCTCTGCCTTTCCCCTTTGGTAACCATAAATTCCCTATCTATGTCTGTGAGTCTGTTTCTGTTTTATAAATAAGTTTGTATCATATTTGATTTTCCACATATAAGTGATATCAGATAATTATTTGTCTTTCTCTGAATGGCTTACTTCATTTAGTATGACAATCTCTAGGTTCACCCATGTAGCTACAAATGGCATTATTTCATTCTTCTTTTATAGCTGCGTAGTATCTTTCATTGTGTGTGGACAGGTATAGTTACAGATATAGATGATATAAATATAGATATAGATGTATAGCATCTTTATTATCCATTCATCTATTGATGTACTAGGTGGCATCCATGTCTTGGCTATTGTGAATAGTGCTTCTATGAACATTTGGATGCATGCATCTTTCCAAATTAGAGTGCTCTCTGGATATATGCCCAGGAATAGCATTGCTGGATCATATAGTAACTCTGTTTTTAGTTTTTTAAGGAGCCTCCATACTGCTCTCAACAGTGGCTCCACAAATTTACATTTCCATCAGCGGTGCAGCAGGGCGCATTTTTCTCCACACTCTTTCTAGCACTTGCTATTTGTAGATGGCCATTCTGACTGTGTGAGGTGACATCTTATTACAGTTTTGATTTGCAAGAAATAATTAGCTTAAATTCATAAAATATGTGAACAACCAACTGGAAGACTTCATATAATGAAGTACTAAGAAGTTCAACTATAGTTAATCTTGTGCCGTATCCAATCACGCTAGTTTTTAAAATAAATTTGTTGTGGTCAACTTAATAATAAAACCAGATGACAAAATGATAAACTAAGATAATACAGCTCATCGCTAGTTGATCCCATCAATTAGAAATATCTCCAATATGAATGGAGTTTCTTCTTTCAAAATGAGATTTTAAGAGAACTTTTTGAAGAGCTCTTAAGAAGCAGTGGGTTCATGCCAAAGAGATAAACGCATGAGTCCATGCAAAAATGTTACACTGATTCTTACCCAAAAATAGAGATATGAGAAAGTCATCTGTCTCATGCAGCTTCAAAGGTGTTTTTCCATCACCCACATCTTCATCATCACCATCGTCATCACTCTCATCTCCTAGGAGGACCGCAAACTTCTTCTCTTTCTCATCATTGTAGAAAGTTTCAAGGTGATTATATGCATCAATCATACGGATTGTATCATTAATTTGTAGGGCCTCATTGTACTTCCTCAGATGTTCTGCACAAACACGATCTTTGCGATTTCCTTCTTTTGCAGCTATGAAAAATATGTTATGTACAATGAAATAATGATAGAATACTCCCCCAAGCTGCTGTGGACTTGAATATGTTAATATGTTTTATGATACTGACTTGAAAACAGGCTTCACTTTGGTTTTGAAATGAGCAAATTAAGGCTCAAAATGTGCCATGAGCAGAAAAAGGGGGCAAGTTTTCTGACTCCTAGACTTGCTACTTCTATTTTGCATCAGCAAAATTCATGCTGACTCTGAGGAATGGCATGAAAAACACATTAGTTAAGTTTGCATGTGGAAACAGAGATGCTAATATTTATCTTAATACTTTAAATATTTAATAAGTGAAAGACTCTGGAGATTAACAGAAAATGGATGAATTGGTGCCTCTTTCCTTAGATAAGGAGTCAGGACATTTTATCCTTGTACTACTTGAACACAGAAATTCCATTTGCTATTATATTTGCTTTCAGTTTGCTTGGGAACATGTGACCTGGAATCTTGGTATAAACATGGGATAAAGCAAATGCTATGTTAAAACCCAAATTACCTTTTTTTTCCATTTGAATGAGCCATTGTTCATAGGGTTGAGTTCCAAAATCTGACATTGGACTAATTTGGCAAAAAATTTGAATCTTTGTCATTATTTCTAGCAGCTTATCTTTAAATGGATCCTAAAAATAAATGATACACTTATTCTTACATGTTTATATTGTTGAATTAATAACATTATTGTTATTAAAATACTTTATATGTTATAACAAATTTGATTAAGACTCATTGTCTAGACAAAGTAACAAGTTAACCTGATCACCTCTTTATATATTAATTTTTTTTTTTATCAGCTTCTATTTTACCTCCACCCTCAAGCCACACCACACTAACACCAGGTATCCATGCTTGAATTTCCCATTTAAAAGTTAAAAAATAAAATTAATGAATGTTATACACCTTGAATGCTAATAGCTATTTTAAAAATACATATTAAAGTAATACCCCAATTATTTAAAAAGTTTGAACTTAGTTTAAAAAAACATTCCTTAGTGAAGAACTGGTTTCAGTATTATTTGTACCAAAATAAAATTTTAAAAGGTAGAGTTTTGAGAAAAGCCAGACATAGAAGAATATATACTATGGGGATTTCCTTTTTCATTTTTGGCCACACTGCTTAGCATGTGGGATCTCAGTTCCCCGACCAGGGATCAAACCCATGCTTCCTGCACTGAAAGGATGGAGTCTTAACCACCTGACTGCAAGGGAAGTCCCTTGATCTGGATTTTGGTTGTACAAGTGTTTTCAGTTTATGAAGATTCGGCAATATGCACACTTATGAACTTGAACCTTTCTGTATGTGTGTTATATTAATACTTCAATAAAAAGTATGTGAAGTGAAAGTCACTCAGTCATGTCCGTCTCTTTTTGACCCCATGGACTATATAGTCCATGGGATTCTCCAGGCCAGAACACTGGGGTGGGTAGCCATTCCCTTCTCTAGGGAATCTTCCCAACCCAGGGAGCGAACCCAGGTCTCTGGCACTGCAGGTAGATTCTTTACCAGCTGAGCCACCAGGGAAACCCAGTAAAAAGTATACCCAAAGTTAATTAAGTTGGAGGAACCTGGAGGAGGGTATGGCAACCCATTCCAATATTCTTGCCTGGAGAATTCCATGGACAGAGGAGCCTGGTGGGCTACAGTCCATGGGGTCGCAAAGAGTCAGACACGACTGAATGACTAGGCACAAGTTAATTAAGTTAAAAGATAAGGTAGCAAATTCTTTGAGGATACTGAGGATTAATTTTAATGATTATGATTAGAAACATGCATTTAAACTTATTAAGTAAAACTGAATGAAAAAAGTGAAGAAAAATCAAGTACACTCAAATATGCTAGTTCAGGGGGAACAGACAGTTCTATTTTTCAAAATTTCCAGAAAAGAATGACCTATGGAGATTGGTTGCTAACATTAGTTTGGTGCCTATATTTCAAACACAATATTATCTATTATGTATATTTCATAACTCAACATCCTTATGAGGTAGATTTGCAAAGATTGTACTTACTATCAAGGACACACAGCTAAAATTTATGGTGCTTTTTATATTTTACAAAAGAAAGTAATGACATAATGTTCTAGTCACAATGTTCAAACTGACTCAGGTTGATTTGTATAAGATGTTCATCACAAAAACACTGTTAAAGTAAATATTTCACTTCTTTACCATTAAGTATTTTCCTAAGAAACTAAATATGTCAATTAGGTGAGATACCTGTTATCATTGCCAACTGAAATCTGGTAGTCAAAAATGGTTCTGTTCAATGTCAAGAAAACCAATTCAGAAAAGTAAAACAAATGAAAGAAACTATGGTAATCCCTCTAGTTTAGCTTTACAACCTTCCCCACCCTTACCCTTTCTCTGCCACCACAACTGATACTTAGTAAACAAAGTACTAAGCTATTCTTTGTATAAACTAGAAAACGAAAAGATTAAGAATTCACCACAGTGCTTTGCTGCCTAATATCAATAAAAAAGAATAAAACTAACTTTTCTACAAAAATTTAAAATAATATTATTCAGAGTGTCAGTGTAAGATAATCTTTGCATCTTTCAGGTGAATATGGTATTATCAATCAAATAAACATAAAAATTTAAGCACATACTTTTTTGGTGTCATCTGCAATTACAAACTTTTTGCATGGCTCCTTTATTTGCTCTTTAAGTAGATTAATATTTTGTTTCACGGTTTTAATGGTAACTGCATCAAGATTGGCACATATCTGAAAAAGAGACACTTCAATATTCAAATACATATTCCTTTTCAATTGATTCAATGTAGAATTTTTTCTTGTGTGAGAAATATGTAGCATGATTTGCTAAATGCAGCATTTTAGTATTGCTTCACTGTGGGTCCAAACAGTAACATTCATCCTGATAAAGTAAAAAAAGAACTTCTAAATCAAGTTGGTAGAAAATTCCAGAAAAAGTATTTCTTTTCATTTCTTAAATTCCGTTTTTCCAGATGGAAAAAGTAACATGGAGAGAGTACAGAAAATTGCAGAGATGAGAAGAGAATGTTTATAAGCTAACCGTATTACACAAGGCATTTATGGGTCATCTTGACATCCATGGATCATACTACCACTTTCTTCTACACATAAAAGAGGACAGGACAAAGATAGGAGCAGACAAAGCCCATGTACCTGGATTTGGATTGGAGTTAGTCCTCAATTCTAGTAATAAATAATATGTTGGAAAAAATAATTGTGCTTTTGTCTACTCTATATGATCTTTACCAACTTCAACTTAAAAATAAGAGACTTAAAATGCAAATACAATGCCTTTGTGTCAACATCTTATGTGAATTACTCTGAATTCTTTCAGTGCTTGAGATAAACAATAGTACTATATGTGTTGTTACCATTTTGGGGCAGTGGACAAGAAATATGTTTTTAATTAAAGATTCTCATATCTCCATTTCCCTCATGTTTCTCATATCTCCATTAATTTGAATTACCTGGAACCTGAGTATCACACAGAACAACAACAAAAAGGCACAGAAGAAACTATGGAATTTTGAAATGCATAGAGTATGTATGAAAATTAGAAACCTTCATAGTTCATGCACACTTCTATGAATACATCATTGAGTTTGACAATTAGGGATAGATATTTAAAGGCAGGTATTTAATTTGTCCCAATTTTTCACTAAGTTTGCTCTCCATAATTTTTTTGATATTGTTCTGTGTCACAGTAATTTATTAAGGCACTTACGGCTTTGTACAAGACTGAGTCTATTCACTTCAAAGCATTTAGATTTCTTTTAACTGATGAGCATGGAATACCATCCTTCATGCATTCCACAGCACTTGGACGTAATCTTAACCAAGAAGCACTGGCATTTGCTATAACTGGTTTTTTGACTCATGCATAAAGTTAATGACTTACTTTTAAAATGTGTTCTTCTGCTTTGGCCTGCTTTTTGGCTCCTCCAACACCTGGTGAGGCTGTGAGCCCCACTATCTGAGGTAAGGAAACCACTGGTTTGTTTTCTTTCTTAAGTTTATTGTTTTTCAACTTCTGTTTCAAATAACGCCTCATGATGTTGTTATAGACCGCTTCTTTGTTGGTGTGATGGCATTCATCAATAATGATGAGAGAAAAGTCTTGAAAGGAAATTAAAATGGTTTATTTGTCCATATTGGCAAGACATAGTGAAAAATACCTTTAAGTTAGTAAACTTAGCAGCCAAGTATCTCTCACTTTTTAAAGGGAAATGTAAGTATCCTAGTCACCTGTATATACAGATGTTTGTGCATATTAATCATGAAACTATCCCTGTTATCATCCCCATTTAATAGGTTAGTTTTGGAAAATTTATAGATCTAAAAAGTGTTATGGGATGGATCAAATTCTGACTTATTCCCCAAAACTCTCAGAATTACATTTTTGTTCTTTAATAAAATATTTAAAGTTGGCAAATTTTATCTTCATCTATCAAATGAAAAACATTATTTAAAAAGGAATAATTTTGCCTTATTTCAACATGGCATTTAATTATTATGATTTTATATACTTCCTTCCCCACCTTGCTCCTACCTTTTCTTCCCATCCCCCACAAAATAGAAAGGACTGTATTTATTCTACAGAGAGGAGGGCATATCTAACAGGATCCACTAAAACTTAAAAAGAACTTGTTGGTACTTAGAAATACTGAGTAATTTGGAAGTCCAGTAACTGTTTGATTTAATAATGATATACTGATGCAGAATAAAGTGATATAATTAAAAACTTTTCCCACTTTTTGTTTACTTCCCCAAGGAAGAAGGTTTTTAATGAAAACTTAAGCAATGGAAGACAATCTAAATCAAAATTATGGAGTGGGAGACTGGGGTTAGCAGACGTAAGCTTTTACATATAGAATGGATAAACAACAAGGTTGTAGAAGAGAATTATATTCAATATCCTATGATAAACAATGGAAATGAATATTAAAAAATAATGTATATATGTATAAATGAATCATTTTGCGATACAGGAGAAATCAATACAACATTGTAAATCAACTACACTTCAATTAAAAATTGATAAAACATAAAAATAATAAACATTTAAATATTTAATCAACCTCTAAAAACTTATTTAGCTAATACAGTCCCTGTTACTACTATCAATATTCATACTATTTTACAAAAATAAACATTTCAACCAACCTGACAACTCTACACCATCATCTTCACCTTCTTCTGAGTTTAAAAGGGAGTTTTCAAGGATTTGAGCTGTACTGATAATAACATCATGAGACTTGACAACTTCTGGAAATGTTATTTTCAATTGGGTATCACCACTTAATCTAGTAACATGATACCATTTCTTCAAAAATGGTTCAAACTCTTTGCGGAAGAGCTGTTCAACTAACGGTACCTTTAAAAATGCCAAAGTTAAAAAGAAAGAGAAAGCATTGTCAAACAAAGAGTATTGACCAAAGGCCCACTATGTATGCCAAGCATTATCAGAAATGTTTGCATTATAAGTTAATTAGATGTAACAACCTATCCATCATTTCATTCATTCACACATCGGTAAGCATCTAGTCAATGTCTTTCATTAGGTGTAGACATTGTGTCTGAAATACAAAGATGTTTATGGTATAGCTGGCAACTCTCAGGAACTCTTTCTAGCCTAGCACATGGACCAAGACTCAAGAAAACAAATCAAATGATCACAACACAATGTGACAATTCTTCCATGGAAACAAAGAAAGTGACTTTGAAGCAACTTCCATTTTGGAAGGGTTTAGAAAAAATTTTAATCTTGTAAACTGTTGGTTAGTGAAGGGATAAATTGAAATTAAGCCTGAATAAGGAACAAAATTTGAATTTTTAAAACAAAGTCAAGCTATAAAGGGCTATGAACATCAAGAGTATTTTAAATTCAATATAACAGTTCACAGGACCCTTATGGGCTATAGAGTTGTCTGGGGATCAAGCCAGAGGCAACCTGCCTAAGGAATTGGAGGATGCAGAAAACCAAAGCTAAGAAAGTAAGATATTGCCTAGGAGAACAGGTGGAGGTGAAGGGATGGACTGCTAGACCAGCTTTGGTGGCTGAAAAAGAACAAAATAGCAAGTTCCTTAAAAAAAATAAAAATTTAGTTACTAATGATTCAACAATCCTACTCCTGGGCATATATCCAGAAAAGATGAAAACCCTAATTTGAAATAAATACTCATTGGAAAAGACCCTAATGCTGGGAAAGACCGAGGGCAGGAGGAGAAGGGGACAACAGAGGATGAGATGATCAGACAGCATCACTGGCTCAAAGGACATGAGTGTGAACAAACTCTGGAATATAGTGGAGGACAGAGGAGCATGGCATGAGGTTGGACATGACTTAGTGACTGAACAACAATACATGTGTAAACTAAAAAAACTACAAATGAACTAAATGTAATCTAATGTAATCGAAAATACAAATGAACTTACTTACAAAGTAGAAACAGACTCACAGACACAGAAAACAAACTTCTGGGAGTTCCCAGGTGATCTAACAAATAGGATTCTGGGTTTTATTGCCATGGCCCAGGTCCAATCCCTTGTCTGAGAACTGAGACCTGCAAGTCTGGAAATGTTTTGCCCTGTGCCTCGTGCTGAACTGGAGGAGTGCTGTCAATTCTTCAGTCCTGTATTCGCAATGCCCAATGATGTCATTACTCTGCATTCTACCTCAATTTACATTTAGAAATGTCCAGCCTCGGTAACAGCTGAACCTGGTCAAAGTGTTAAGGTTTTGTTGCTCAGTAGAGAACAAAGGAGTTGAGTCTTTGTATGTTGTAGTGACCACTGAAGGTGACTGAGTTGACACCTCAAGGCTCTCACATCACCAGTCGTTTAGAACAGCTCGATTACTAGGGAAGGGAATAACCGGGTCCCTTTTGTTGTTTAGTTGCTAAGTTGTATCCATCTCTTAGCAAACTCACAGATTGTGGCTCTCCAGGCCCCTCTGTCCATGGGGTTTCCCAGGCAAGAATACTGGAGTGGATTGCCATTTCCTTCTCCAAGGGATCTTCCCGAACCAGGCCATCTTGAAGGTTATATCCTAGGGGAAGCTGTACAGTGGAAGCCCAGGAATGTACAACATGGCAAATAAAGTTGGCAGAAAGAGTTTCAAGGGCAAACATCAAAGAATGAACATTACATTTCTCCTCATGCAATTACCTGATAATGTGATCAGTGGTTACCTTATAGTGGTCTGTGAAGTATGTGCTATTCATTTTTTAAAATTTAAGATGAACTCTATGTGAAAAATAAGGGCTGGCTGACCCTCTTAGTTGGAGAGAACCAAGGAAGAACACTTCTCTGTATTATTATTTAGTAGAAATGGTGAGGGCTTCTAAGAGTGAATGTAGTAGGGGAAGGGGGCTAAATGGAGCCCATGAATTCCAAGGAAACAGAGTGAATAAATAACAAAGTTTGGTAAGTGAAAGAATATAACACAGGATTGAAAGAGAAAACTTAACTTAGTTGTTTTTCTTCCTCCAAAGTGAGATCTCTTGTCTGTCTGTCTGTCACAAAATCAATTGAGAGATTTGGAGAATGCAGACTCCCAAGCCATACTCAAGAACTACTGAATCTAGAGACTGGCCATATGTAGGACAGAGTCTTGAAGCCTGCACTTTATGAAGCTTCCAATATGACATTTAAGTCTTTTCAAAAATTTTTTAAAAAAGAACCACAGCTCTTCTTTTTCTTCTACAAAGTCATTTCTGATTCACTTTTATAGGACTATTCTTTTCATTATACTTATACAAGACAGCAGAAATAATCTAAGAAGGAAGTCAGAAAAAAAGATTCTGAGAAAGTAAAGGAAGATTAAATGTAGTGGAGATCGCATGCTCCAGAGGAGAGAAAGTGAGCTCTGAAAACAAATACGCCAGCTACTTGCTTATTGTATGACTTTGGACAAGTCACCTAATCATCTCTATCTCCAATTAACAAAGTCAGGAAAATATCAACCTGTGATGGAAGTGTTATGAAAAATAAATGAAATAGAGGCTGATACAGTGCCAGTACGCAGAAAACTTCCCTGGTATTTCACCATCTTTTTATCCTAGTAGTAGAGAATGATAGAAGGGAGGACAAGTTCCCTTCAGAAGAAAAGGGTTCAAGTCTCGGCTCTGCTGCAGATGACTCCTGACAGGCCAATTAAAGCTCAAAGCCTCAGTTTCCTGATTGCTAAAATGGTGATATTTATGGTTACTAAAAATAAGAGCTGTGTGATTTTAATGAGAGGATGTGAAGTGCAACACAACAGTCATTATTATACTAATACACAGCTCTCATTTCCTAGACCATAGATTCCCTGAGGGCAGGCTCCGCATTTGATTTGTCTTTAAATACGCTCATGCTGCTGAATCATTTAAGAATCTCTATACGATGGAGTAGAGAAGGAAATAACAACCCACTCGAGTATTCTTGCCTGGGAAATCCCATGAACAGAGAGCCTGGTAGGCTACAGTCCATGGGTTGCAAGAGTCAGACACGACTTAGAGACTACACCACCACCACCATGGTCCGGAATGGCACAGAAACCTGAGGTTCTGCCCATAAAGGATGGGCTGAGATATTCCAAAGAAGCAGCATATTTTGGTCTACAGAATAAAAAGACGTTGTCACAGCAGGTGGCAGGTGTTGGAAATCCTGAGACTCACTTTGGGTGGCATTGACTTCCTCCTGAAGGACACAAAGAGAGCCAGGTGCAAGCCTGACATGGCTAATTGGGAGGTGTGTGGTCCTCTTGGAGCCTTTTCCTGAGATGTGACAGAGTGCCTGCCAAGACTAATCAAACCCAAATGCTACCCACTTCTGCTGAATCATATGGGGCTGTATTATAGCATCTAGGAACCTGGGATTTCTCTCATGATGCTGAAGTCCTAGATAGGAAATAGAAAGTCTGGGAACACAGGTGGTGTTTTCATTTCTCCCTGCATCTGAAGGCGATAACTGGAAAGGATAGAGAAAGGGAGACAAAAGTAAATGGTATTAGGAAACAGGATTTCTCCTTTCTAGATGAAGGGTTATAATATTAAAGCCTTGCCATTGGGCCAAATATAGAAAGTAGGTTATGTTGACTTACTGGGTCAGAGATTATCTGATTCAATCGAAAGAATTAAATTACTTTAGAATTCAAAGCAATGGGATAATAAATTAAACGATTATTAGGGAAGATCTAGTAGAGAGATTTCCAATAATTCCTAGGGAAAAACAAGAGGGAAGCAGATCAGAAATTGGACCCATGGCCTTAAATGCCTACAGAGCAATGCAATGGATATGAATAATTAATGAGGATAATTTCACATTTAAACACGGGTGCAAATGTGAACTCATAAGTATCACCTTGCTCCAATGGGATGAAAGAGTCACAGCCAGAATATAGCACTGAGAGGATGAGGAGTTATACAAAAAGGAAGGTGCATGAGATACACACAAAAATATAAGACTTGAAAAGATCAATCAAGATTAATAATATGAAAAACATAAGTATAAACCTAAGTATTTTCATGTAGGCTCAAAATTAACCTTCAAAAATAACTTAAGAGAGGTCTAGTTTAACAGATCTTCAAATGAAAACAAGCTGAGACTTCTTAGGTTACGGAAAACTTCCGATGAGTCAGTGGGTGCCAGCATTGGTGACAAAAGGCAAACCTGGCCAGGGATCACACATCACATCTCATCTTTCCTCTACTACCTACAGTATTTTGTCCAACCCTAAACACTGTGTTTTAACAGGGTCTTAGTTAATGTCTGAAAAAATATGAGCTCTCAGGAAGATGAAAAGTCTGGAAACTACATTATATGAAGAACATATAAGAGAACTGGAAGTATTTATCACAGCAAACTAAAAGAAAAATCCCTATGGAGTCATATGATGCTTGATGTCTTTTCTTTGTGAAGGGCTATCATAAGTCAGCAAAATTAAGATTCAGCTTACTCTGTATATTACAGAGGAAAGAATGCTAAGCAATAAGTGTGGATTACAGAGAAATGGATTTTGATGAATGCAGGTATGTCTTTCTAACAGTGTCAGTTGTTCAAAGAATGGATTGAGCTCTCTCTTGTTAGAAGGAGGACATTCTTGATATTAGAAGTTACTCAGCAGAGGTGAGAGAATCACTTGGCAATAAATGAAAACTGGATCTTACAGGCTTCTTTCAACTCTAGTGTCTATGATGCTGGATAAAGGAAGTACAGGAAGCTGATGGACCAAAAGTAACTCCTAGGTTTTGAGGTTACATGCTTTGGAGGAGGTAATATAACCAACAGAGAGACAGACAAGGGAAGGAGAGATCTTTGGGAGAGTAAATGAATGGAATGAGTTTGAGGAAATGCAAGAATGTAAAGATGGTATCAAGAGCATCAGTTTAAGTCGTTTCAAATCCAATTAATTTTGTTCTTTTTTCTGGACCTGGCACTTAAGACCTTATTCATTGGTTAAGGAATTGCAATTTATTAGTTGTTAAGGTGAGGAGGAAGGAAGGGAGAAGGAACTAATATTCACTGAGTCACTCTTAGATTTTAAATAGATTATCTCATTTAAACTTCCAACCCTGTATAGAGTAGCATTATTTTACTCACTTTACAAATGAGGAAATTAAAGTGAGAGAAGTTCATAATTTGCCCAAGATCAAATTACTGGTAGGTAGAAATAATATTCACACCTAGATTTGTCTTATTCCAAAAGATAATATCCTTAATAAGGAAAATATATGAAGAGCCATGGGAAAAAAATTTTAATGTATCATCATCGCCACACACACACACACACACACACACACACACAAACTGTTGTAACAGGGGGCATGTAAGTATGAAGGAACCATATTTAGGCTTGGGGTATATATACAAAATGCTTTTGGAGTTACATGATAGAACTCATTAAGATTATGGATTCTGAGTACATTTCTCTAATACTAAAAAGCAGACTACAATTAAAACTTTCAGCATGATAGAAATCTAAAAAATAGAGGAAAGTTACACATGTAGTCTATAATTATATTTTCTGTAAAGGAGCAAATGAGAATCTAGTCACCAATGTAATGGGAAAAAGATTGTTTTTGATCATGGAAACTGTACTCAATTTTACTCCATAAAATAAATGGTAAAGATCAATATCCCGAAGTTACAAACTTATAAATTAATAAACTCTGATATATCTGAATAAAGTTCAACTAGACTTTGTTTAAAATGGAGACTTATACCTGTTTATGAAGATAGACTTTAAAAATCCTAAGATAAAAATATTAAAGCAAAACCTCAGTTGCATTGAATGATATATGTGTATGTATATATATTACATATATATAAACTATTTGAAAATTATTTCTCTATTAAACTTGATATAAATCAGTCAAATATTCACTTAATTTTCTCTTCATTTTCAAACCAAATTATATATATTTTGAATAAAGAGCACTTGCCACTTTTGACTGAGGGTCAGTGGTTAAAAAGGGCTTCCTAAGTGGTAGCCCAGGTGATGCTAGTGGTAAAAACCCGCCTGCCAATGCAGAAGACACAAGAGACACAGGTTCAACACGACTGAAGTGACTTAGCATGCACACACTCATGTATGGTGGTTAAAGAGACTCTAGAACACAGTGTTTAAGCTTAGATTTCAGTGATATTTGAGGTCATTTAAGTCCATATGCAATGATAAGTCAGTACTAGTTCACCATAAAGAAAATCTGAGTAAATACATTCTTTATACTTCAGTATAAATTAGAGACATTATTAAAAACAGAGACATTACTCTGCCTACAAAGGTCTCTATAGTCAAAGCTATGGTTTTTCCAGTAGTCATGTACAGACGTGAGAGCTAGACAATAAAAACGGCTGAATGCCAAAGAACTGATACTTTTGAACTGTGGTGTTAGAGAAGACTCTTGAGAGTCCCTTGGACAACAAGGAGATCAAACCAGTCAATCCTAAAGGAAGTCAACACTGAATATTCATTGGAAGGACTGATGCTGAAGTTGAAGCTCCAATACTTTGGCCACCTGATGCAAAGAGCTGCCTCATTGGAAAAGATCTTGATGCTGGGAAAGACAGAAAGCAGGAGGAGGAGGGGATGACAGAGGACAAGATGACATCACTGACTCAATGGACATGAATTTGAGCCAGCTCTGGAAGTTGGTGATCAACAGGGAAGCCTGGCATGCTGCAGTCCATAGGGTTGCAAACAATCAGACATGACTGAGCAACTGAACAACAATACATCAGTTACAGCTCTTTGATTTAATGTTCTGGTTTAATAAGACAAAAAAAAACTACTTTTTTTTTTTTTTATTAGTTGGAGAAAAAAAACTACTTTAATGGCTAATAATTTAGATAATATAGAGAGAACTGAAAAAACAAAGATTTAAAATAAATTACTCATTCTGACATTTTTCCTAATTAAAACCATGTGATCCATTGTTACAAACATCACTATACAAATGCTTCAGAAAAAATAATA